TGGGTTTTGGGGGAGGCTGCCACTAGCTCATTGTGTGCCTTTATTGGTCAAGGCCCTTCTCCTCCTCAGCATGTTTCCCCATCTGGAGGGCTGAACTGTAACATTTCCCTGGAGCTATACTTTCTTGCTTTACAAAATCCTGATTCTCACTTGTCAGGCCTGATCTTTACGTGTCTTTTTCTTCCAGCACTTTCTTCATAGGCCTCCCAGCTGCCTCATGCCTGTGGTTGTCTGCCACCTGCTCACATTTCACCCAGAACTTTGGTTCTCTAAGGTAGGCCAAAGATAACAATTTGGAAAAAGCTGTTCCTAAACGTAGAGTTCAGGGTAACAAAGGGCCAGGGCAGTCTCAGCCCTGGGAACAGAGAGTATATATGAAAAGTAGTCAGGTGGGTGGTAGACTCCAAATATGCTTGGTATCCCTGGGTGAGGGCACACTGTCATACTGCCCCCGTCACAGGAGTTAGTCTTCCATGCTTTCCGCTCAGCTGCTAAATATTCTGTCACTTCAGTCCTTTGGAACTGACAGACATTAGGGTGGGCCCAAAAGAAATAGTACTTCAGGGAAATGAAAGAAATCTTTGAAATGCTGAAGAGGCTTCCCAGCTGGATGCCTTCTTTGTGGTCCTGATATTCCCTAGTCTTGTGTGTGCGTGCGTGCGTGCGTGCGTGCGTGTGTGCGTGCGTGTGCGTGTGCGTGTGTGTGTGTTGGAGGGGGCAGCACAGTTCTTTGTTTGTATGGCCCACCCCTCCCCAGGAACAATGTGTGGAAAGACCAAGTGTGAGCATAAACTTGTACTTCAAAATGCCTTTGTTAGCTCCTCCTCGAAGAGGAGGCCCCCTGCAGGCCCCAGTGTCATATGCTGACTGACAGATGATCAACTCATTTGGTTGAGTTGGACATGGGGGTCAGGAGTGCTGGTCATGGAGACCAGAAATACTTTCTTGTCTTAAATTTATTCAGCTGCAAAATGGAGATAATCCCCTTGCTTCCCAGCCTCTTGTCACTGCTGTGAAAAGACCATGAAAAGAGATGTGCAGGCTGCTCTGGAGGCAGCTCCATAAACTCAGATAAACAGACTGGGCCACATGATTACAATGCCCATTTCTTTCTTCACCAAATATTCTGTGGGTATCTCCTCTACACCAGGCCAAGTGATAGGCATTGTGAAGAGAGGGTACAAAAGTAAAGTTCTGGGGTAGGAGGACCCTGGGAGTGGAGTTCTGAGAAAGCTAGGCTAGAGGTCTGGCAAAGGTGCTCCACAGCATTGTGGATGAAGGTATTCCTTTTCCCCAGGATGGGGAGGGACATCATAAAAAGGTTTCATGGAGGATGGTTTTGAGGATTGTGTCAAGTGAGAAAAGTAGGGGAAGAAATCCTGGCAGAGCCATATCCCAGCCATGTGAGTGTATGGGGGATTGGGCAAGAGCTGGGCTTCTGGATGGCTTAAGCTGATTGTAGGTGCAGGGGGAGAGGAAGAGCTGGAAAATTAAGCTAGAAATATAAGACCAGGGCCAAAGTATATAAGACTATATAACAGCCTAGCTGAGTTGATGGTCAACTAGCTTAGTTCATCCCTCCCAGTGTTGCCACTTGTGCATGAGGCAGAGCATAATATCCTGGAAAGAGCCCCGGTCTGGGTGACAGGAGCCCCCTGGGTTCTAGTCCTGGCTCTGCCATTGCCTCACTGCCTGACCTCGGGCAAGTTCTTTCCCTTCTCTGGGCATCAGTTTCTGCATCTGTACAAAAACTGTTCTGCCTACTTCAGAGATGTGTTCTAAGAAGCAAACAAAATGATGGATGTGCAAATAATTTATGAGAAGTTAAATGCTCTGTGAACACAAGAGAGTGGTTAAGATAATGCTGCCAGATTTGTCCTGAGAAATCAGGGAACATGTTCTCCATATACTCACCAAGTCATTCCTATGACTACGTGTCTCATTCTCTCTAAGAATTGAAATCTTCAAGTCCAAAAGAGGTGGTATTCAGAGCCTCTTCAGTCTAGTCTCCAGCCTAACTCCTGTTCAAATACACTGGACATGAACCACACTGAACTGGTTACCCAAATTGTCCTGCACTTTCCCCCTCTAGGCTTTTGTTCACTGATTTTCTTCCACTAATACCTTTTCTTCCCTTCTGCTGATTAAAATCTTGTCCTTCAAGGGCAAGAACAAATACTACCTCATGCATCAGGCCTTCCCTCAAACTGGCAGCTAAAGGAGATCTCTTTGGTTTCTAGAGTTCCGTTGGCCATTTTTCACTTTGGATATAGTTCTTTGGGGTCACCTTTCTTCATAAAGCAAAATAATTTTTCCATTGCTAAAGACAAGAGCAGACTGCCCTCTCTCCTGCAATGGGAAAATACTGTGCAGAGCCAAGTGGAGCCCCAGGCTCATGGCAGTGTCTGGAATAAAGGAAGGATGGAAAGAAGAAAAAGAGGAAGAAAGGGAGGGAGAGAGAAGAGAAAGGAGGAAGTGGGAAGGGAGGAGAAAGGGAGAAAGGGAGGGAGAAAGGAAGAGAAAGAGGAAGAGAAGAAGCCTAACTCATCTGAAGGGGTTAAGACTTGGCCCTCCTGGAAGCTGGGGGCTAAGGAGGGGAGAGTGGGTTCTCAGCCAGGGCCAGTGTTAACATGGGACTTTGGAAAGCCTAAAGGCCAAAGGGGAGATTTTACTCCAGGAATAGTGACATCACCTTGCCTCCTCCTCACACCTCCTAGGGAAAGTCACCTTCAAAGACTCATCATCAGAAGTGGAAGGACTATTTGAGATGATCCATTCTAACCCTTGGCCCATTGTCTGCATGGGAATGATGAGGGTCTGGGAGGGGAAGGAACTAAGGCACCAGTTCTTAAAGTTAGCTCTGCCCACCAGGAGCACAGGCAACTGGAAAAAGAACAGCTAGAAGTAATCTGGAGAGCCAGGATGCCAATAACGTGGGCATTAAACCTTGCTGGGTTCTCAGTCCCCTCATCTGGGAAATGGGGCTAAGAGTTTCAGCCCTTCCTCTCTGCTGAGAATTTGGTGCACTCCTATAATCTCCTCGAACACAAGTAGTTTGAAATGCCCAGAGTGTCTACTTGCTTTCATGGGACAACCAGAGAAGCTGTGTCCCAGATGCCTTGGGAGATGCCATGGGAAAGGACACCCTGGCCAGACTCCATGTGAATGGTGTACTTTTTCAGGGGCCTAGGGCAGATGGGACTTCTGAAGTTGACTCCTAATTCCCAAGGGCCCTAACTTAGAGGATGGGGGGCAGGTCCAGGGTGGGGTCCTGGACAAACCTAACCCCTTAGGAGCCCAGATTGGAAGAAAGATAAGAGAGAGCTCAGTCGGCCTGTCCTAAAGCCCTCTGCCTGTGCTTATAGTCCAGTCTCTCACTTTCGCTATTCTCTAAATTGCCTAAGAATGAAAATCTAGAAGCTGAGAGGGGCAGGAGCACAGAGATAGATGCCCAGTTTTCTCACCTTTCTTCCTAAAGTCTCTTAAGCACTAAGACCTAGAGGGAGTGAGGGAGATGAGAGGGAGCAGAGGCAAGTCAGTTCAAGATCTTACTTCCTGCCTCCCTTTCCCCATGATAGGGGGTCATGATGCAGGGAGCTGTCAGGGAAGGTACCAGGAAAGGATCTAAATAGCTCAAGTGCTTCCTGGATACAATTATCTGGGTTCTCCTTCTCCACCCCTTCAACTTGTGTCCCTTTCACTACTCATCCACATCCCCACCTGCAGATATGCAGGGGAAATACAAGAAGGTACTGTGGAAGGATGAAGATTTGGCAAAATGAAGTTTCCTGGATTTGGGTGGATATCTGTGCTGATTCAGGGCTTGTTTACCTGAAGATCCATTCCACACATTTTGTCTGCTCTTCTTCACATCATAGGGGAGTTGACACCTGCAGGCTATGTTTCCCAGCATACCTAGTCAATCACTTTCTGGCTAGGTTCAGTCAATGGGAGGAACTGGTAAGAGTACAGTAAAAATGGAGAAGCGTCCTCCTCTGCCTTGGGGAGGGGTCTCTTTATTGTGTCTCCTCTATGGCTCCTGTTCTCAACATAGTTCCGACTTCTGCTGTGTGGTCCCAGTTCCTAGCTCAGGTCACACTACCTCCTCCCACTGTCCCTTCATTCTTCTCCTTCCCCTGCTTTGCCCTGTATTGCAAGGGAACTGATCCCTGTAGGCTGCATTTCCCAGGCTCTCATATTAGTTGACTTCTGATTCCCCCCAATGGGAGACATGAGAGGCAGATTGGAGGGCAGGGATGAGGGAAAGGAGAGGGTATTTCTTCTTTTCCTCTATTTTGAGCAGTTTCTCCAGCAGTAGTGTGTCTCTTCTATGGTTCTAGCTCTCGTGTACAGGCTGTGATTCTAGTTTTCATCAAGTGAACCCCTTCCCTGGACTCTGGAAATGCTTCTTCACTTACACCTCTGGCCTAGGGGTGGTGTTGGTTTCCTCCTGTCACTAAGCTTCCTGTCCTGTTTGGCTTCTCAGCCTATCACCTATGTAACCAGTTTATATTCTGCATCAAATGCCCTACTGTAATTATTTGGTAGTTTGTTTTCCCAGTTAGACCTCGACTATAAACTACATTGGAGGGAATGTAGTCTATGATTCAAGGTGAGTGAATGAGGGTGAGGTGACTCCTGGGTCACTTCACTCAAAGCAGTAGGGGGCTCAGGGACAGCCCCTGAAAATGCACCTTGTAGCAGCTAGAAAAGTGAGGAGAGGTTGGGAGGTACAGGGCTGGGCAAGCTGATGCTTCCTTCCACCCACTTGGATTCTTCAGTATCTTGCTTCCAGGGCAATTCAGTTCTAAACTCTCTAGAGGATCTTGACTGGGGAGGTATGGGCTATTGGGTTAGTTTTCTCTTTTGCTTTTTCAGTGGCCAGGACTCTAGTGCCTGTCAGATGCCAGACCATTACCATCCTTCCCCATGGGCAACTACAACCCTTCCCCCAACAAACCTCCCTACACAAGCACAACAGATACAATCACAACCAGGATTTATTTTGTGAAGAATTTTATTGTGGAGGATAATGCAGGAGAGCAGCTTCAGATAGGTGGGTGGAACTGTAGTGCCCTCCAACTACCTGGGTCCCCAGGTGGTTTTTGGAGGCATCATGGGCTCCTGGGAAGACTGCAAGATTACAGTTGGTGTTTGAGGTAGCTGATCAACATGGGGGGAATATCCAGCTGGTTGATGGCTTGTGGCTGGCCAGCTTGGCACAGTGCTCTGCGGATAACTAAGCGGGCCTGTGATAGTAGTGACCGTGGGGTAGCTACAGCAAGGAGAAATAGGTTATGAGGAGCAATTCTCAGTGTAGGCACCCATCAATTGCCTTCTCCCTTCTCGGAAATGTCCCTCACCCTGCCCCAAATATATAGTACCAATAAGGACCCATTCGGGCCTAGAGAAGGTTTGTTAAAGGCCACACAGCAGTCATTGGCAAAGCCAGGACCAGAAACCGAGCTAGTTCTACCCCCATCTCATCTTAGTGGCCTTTTCCCTAACATGGAATGTGTAACCTCTTCTCCACTGGGATCCCAGGAGAGAAAGGAGGATGATGTTTTCCCCAATTCATCCTGAAAGGATTGGCTTCAGGGGTGATATGGGGCCCTAGGGCCCCCAAGCAGGAAGGTTGTAGGGCTTCCCTGCTCACCACTCACCTCGGGCCTGTAGCAGCAATGCAACACCTTTATCATCTTGCGAGGTCAGGTCCAAAGAGAGAGATGGAAGGTAGATGTTAGCACCAAAGTCGATTAACAGCTGGATGTACTCTGGCTCACAATTATGGTGAAGGCAGATTTCAAGGAGGGTGCGGGGTCGTGGGACACGAGCCAAAAGGCACTGATCTGTGCAGTTGTAGTCGGGGTCTGCCCCATGGAGCAAAAGCAAACGGAAACAGTCAAGGTGCCCATAGACTGCAGCTAAATAGAGGGGGCCAGAACATGAAGCTATGTTTGATGCCCAGACTGGTAGTTTGGCCTTGACATTGACCTCTGCGCCATGGCCTAGGAGCTCCTGGAGGATGGCAATGGCACCATCGCGGGCAGCTGTGAGCACAGGAGAACAGTTGTTGTAGATGCTACCACCAGGACAAGCGCCAGCTTCCAAAAGCACACGCACACAGTCCAGATGGCCATGACTGACGGCAGTGAAAAGGGGCGTTTGTGCCTTGACATCCAGGCTGTCGACGTCAGCGCCATGTGCCAGGAGGACCCGCAAACAGCTCAGGTGGCCATAAGAAGCAGCCAAACGCAAGGGTGTCCCAGGAATGCCCCAGCCACTCCTGCTGTTGATAAAACGTTTGTAACGCTCCTGGCGCAAAAGCTGGTCCAGTGTATAGGAGTCATTGTCATATACTGCCTGATTGAGAGCCTGCTTCTCCCCTGTGTCAGTGTCCTCCTCCTCCTTGTCTGGCTGCAGGAGGGAGAAGATCTTGGTGATGTCCATGAGGTTCATCTTGGCTGAATGGAGCAGGACTATTTTCATTATGAGCAGTAAGATATGCCAGATCTGTGGGTGACAAAAACACAAAGAAGAGAGGCTGAGGGTCCTCATCAAAAGCCTGGATGGGAAACAACTCAAGCTCCTACCCTTCACCATCAGAATGTTCACCAATAGTTCCCCTGTTTCTCACTCCCACTCCCACTGCCTTATTACAGGCCCCACCCAGAGACAGCTGCCAAAACAGGTCAGGCCATTTCACAGCTTGGTGCCTTTGCATATGCCGTTCTGCCTGCCCCCTCAAACTCTTACCTCTAAGAAGCCTTCTCTAATCTCCTCCTTCCCCTGCTCAGGGATTCCAAAGGATTGCATCCAGACTTCAGCTATGAACTTTCATACCACATTTCCATTTATCTGTACTCCATTAGTGTGTGAACTCCAGGGTGAGGACTCTGCATCCATCTTGTATTCCTCCACCCCCAACAGGGCCTACATCATGGCTAGGAATTTGGTTCCTCAGTTCAGAATGCATAGACTAATGAGGTGGCTCTGGCCTGGCAGTTGCTAAGCCAACAGAACAGTGCTTTGTGGTGTCTTGCTGTCATCTCTGAGCATTCTGACATCAGTGTCATGGGGCAAGCCTTCGACTCCACCTCTCAATCTTTTAAATAAAGTTCAACCTTTTCATAGATTTTCATGATCTGACCAAATATTCCTCTCCCAAACCTTCTATGACTTCCTCTTCTACTCAGAACCGATGATTCAAGCAACAGAGTGCTCAGGAAATGGATATTTAGTGGCATTTATTGATTAAACACAGAGATGGCATTACAAAGTACACACTTAAATAAAAATTAAGGAAAATAGATGGCAGAAAACAATTGAGATTTCCAGGGCAAGTCCTCCTCTCTTGTGACAATTGGTTTTTCCTCCAGGACCACCTCAACCCAGGAGTCCCTTTGATTGCCAACACCTCCACAGAGCCCACTGCTTCCCCACCCCTCTGGCTCAAATCCTATCTTCTCTTCCTGACCCAGCCTGGAGCCTTGCCTCAACCCTCAACTCTTCTCTTTCTATTATCCCTAGGCCCTACAAAATCACTCATGGACCCAATGACTGAATCAACCTAACCCACTGACCTTACCAGTCTTATTCCTAGTCCTCCAAAGTCAAGGTCACCCACCTCAGTTTTTAATGTCATTAGGGTAAGCTGGTAGCTTTTTCAGAGTTCCCTTACTCTCCCATACCCTGCAGCCATGGTCTCAGGGTCATGCACATCCTTTTATTCACTGTTTACTCCCATCCTTCTTTGCTAGCTGAGGATCTCTTGGTATCCACCTCATAGAAAGAAAACTATGAGGTGAGTAGGTGAGGTCACCCTCAACTTTAGGCCCATCTTCACCCCAAACATCAGCTCCACATATGGTCTTATAATTTATTCATTCTTGGGGTTTAATGGGAAGAATAGGATTTTACAAATCAGGCAGACCTATGTTTGGAACTCAGCACCCACAGTTCCTAGCTGGGCAAGTCTCTTCCCTTCTTTGGGACTCAGTTTCCTCATCTGTAAGACAAAAATGATAGTTCTTGCTTCATGGGGCTGTTAGGAGGAACATAACTATCTTCTAATAGATAGCTATTAGACTTCAAAGGTGAGCTTCCTCTTTGTGCACCTTTAACCTCTTCACTGGTTCCTCCCCCTCAACTATCTTAGAAAACAAAACAAAACACTTCCATGGTCGTTTTTCCTACTCTAGTTATCTTTCTCTCTCAATCTCTTCCTTCTCTACCAAACTTATCCGAAAGGTTATTTACAGTTTACTTCCCCATCTCCCATTCATTTTTCGATCTTTTGCAGTCTGGCTATCCCCACCCTCAATCACACACTGAGACAGCTCTTGAAAAGGTCATCCTTGTGGCTAAATCCAGTGGACGCTTCTCAGCTCCTGTCTTCCCTGACTTTTCTGGGACATCTGTTCCCACTAACCATTCCCTCCTAGGAACTCCTCCTTTTGCTTCCTAGCTAGCTCACTCTTATGATTTTTCTCCCTATGTTCTCCCCTGAAATGTTGATGCCCCCCTTTTTTCTCCTCCATCATCTTCTTACCAGTCCCAGAGTTTCAGCTCTCACATTTATTCTGATGATTTCAAGCCTATCATTCTAAGCCCCCAGCTCTCTCTTCGGCTCTAGGAATGTATCCACTGAGTTTCTTCTGGCACTTCAAAGTCAGCAGTATCACCCCCACCACCAAACTTGGTTCATGTCTTAGTTACTCACCATCTACCTGGTCAACCAAATGAAAAACCCAAGACCTATCTCAGTCTTCTTACCTCTTCCTCCACTCCCACCCAACTGGTCATTAAGTCCTGTGGCTTTAACCTCCTAGAGACTTCCCTAGGCCATTCCCCTCAGGCCCACCCCAGCCAGTGCTTTATATAGGCCTGCATTATCTTTTGCCTCAACTGTTGAGTGGTCTCCTAGATGGTTTCCCCTTTCAATCTTTTCTCCACATTGTAGGTAAAGTGATCATTTAAAAATATGAATCTGGTCTGTGCCAGTCCCCAGTTTTAAATCCCTTAATGGCTCCCCTTTCTTTCAGGGTACAGCCTTAAATAACAGCCTGGCTTACAGGTCCTTCACAAGCATTTCTTGGCCAACCTCTCCAGCCTCACTTCCTACTACTCCTTTGCTTATATCCCAAGATTCAGCCATAAGGGCAAGGCAATGATAGTTCTCTGTATGGATGGTCCTTCTACCACATGCAGTTTCTTCTGCTGAGTTAATTCCTCCAGAGTCTGTGCTCCCCTAGCACTATAGTAGTCATCATACTGTATTGTAACTCCTTTTATATGGGTCTGTTTTGTCCCCACTGCAGCTGGAAAGGCCATAGTGGTAAAATATGGGTCTGGAGTTCTGCTTCAATCAATTAGTAGCTGTGTGTCCTAGGTCAGGTCACTCAATCTCCCTGTGCTCATTTCTTCATCTGTGAAGAGAGGATAATAATAGTACCTGCCTCAGAGGTTATTGTTAGGATTAAATGGGTTAACACATATTAAGTGCTTAGAACAGTGCCTGAAGGTAGTATTAGTAATTATTTTCACAATGATGATTATTATTACTTAGGTCTCAATTTCTATGACTGTTGCTCTCTACCTAGAGAAACTTCTAGAACCTCAGAGCTGGAGGGGATTTTGTAGATCATTTACATTAATATCCTCAGTTTAGAGATGGAGAAAACAAGGCTCAGAGGGGAGCAGAGACTTTGCTAAGGTCACACAGTTGTTATTGGCATAGATGGCACTACAAGCCAGGGAAGTCATATCATCCCAGTCACCCAATCTGTTGTCCTATTAACAAGAACGCCGAGCACACCTATCGTTTTATGCTTCTCAAAACAATTTTACATAGTGGGATAAGTAGAATCATCCCCATTTTGTGTTTGGAGGAAACTAAGGCCCAAAAGGGTAAGGAACTAGCTGAGTGCCTTGTTGTTGCTGTTAGCTGCCATCAGATTGATTCCGACTCATGGCGACCAAATGTATGCTGAGTAAAACTGCTTCATAGGATTTTCAAGGCTGTGACCTTTTGGAAGAAGATTGCTAGGCCTGTCTTCTGTGGAGCTTCTGGGTGGGTTCCAACTGCCAACCTGTCAGCTAGTAGTCCATCACTTAAACCTTTGTGCCACCCAGGGACTTCATGCAGGTGAGGAAATAGCAGAGTCAGAAATAGAATACAGGTTTCCCTACGTCCCACCTTGTTCTTTCTATTGCATGAAGCACAAACACTTACCCCTCCCCCTTTCCTGGAGCAGAGTAATGTTGCAGCTCCCAGAATCAGCTTTGAGTGTCATGCTGAACTCCAGAGACTTCAATCATAGAAAGTTCCCTTACAAATTATTTCTTATGACAGTAGTAGGGATTCCCTTCTTACTACTATATTTTGAGGGGTGGGGTATGGGGAAATGAAGGTGGCAGGAAGAGGGGACAAAGGGTAAAGCTATCACCATATAATTAGTCTCTAGAGGGAGATCAAGCCATGGTTCCTAGCTGGCTATGGCACTAGAGTGAATTGAGCCTCCATTAGATAAGGATGAAAAAATTCCAGCTAGTCTATTGGCTAATCTTATTTTGCTATGGTTTATTAATCAAAGAATTATTATGTGCCCACTGTGTGCAAGGAGCCACTCCCTTGATTCCAAAAATGCAACAGTTTTAACCTTTTTGTGCCATGGGCTCCTGTGGCAATCTGGTTAAGCCTGTGGACCCCTTCTGAGAATAGCTTTTTTAAAAATTTTATTTATTTTGTTGTTGTTGAGAATATACATTGCAAAACATACACCAGTTCGACAGTTTCTACATGTACAATTCAGTGACACGGATTATATTTTTCAAGTTGTGCAACCATTCTCACCTTCCTTTTCTGAGTTGTTAATGGGGGAGCCATTAACATAAACTCACTCCCCTCTAAGGTCCCTATCTAATCTTCCGAGTTGCTGTTGTCAGTTTGATCCCATATACATAGTTCTTAAAAGAGCATAATGTTCAAGGCAGACAATTTTTACTAGTTATGCTAAACTACTGTTTGGTTTTAAGAAGATTTTAGGGGCTATTTTTGGCTTAAGGTTTAAAGATTATCTCAGGGTAATAGTTTCAGGGGTTCATCCAGCCTCCACGACTCCAGAAAGTCTGGAGTCCATGAGATTTGGAAATTCTGTTCTGCATTTTTCCCTTTTTGGTCAGAATTCTTCTATAGAATCTTTGATAGCTTTTAATACGTAAAATAAAATACAAAGGATTAAAGGAAAACAATCATATTGAAATACAGTTATCAAAGTAATTTTAAAACTGCATGATATAGGAAGACTAGATCTGCTTCTTTATTAACACAGTAAATAACAAGATCTACTAATAATTTCTAAGTGGTATTGAGCATAAATGGCATTTTGAGATCTCTGCCACAACTGTAATATGGCAGGAAATGTCTGTGATTTCTCATGGTGACCGAGTTACAGTAATTGGTGTACTTCTGCCATTTTCTGCCTGTATTCATCCTTGGAGGAAATGACAAA